GGCCGCGTGCGCCCCCCGCCGCCCCAGCCGCAGCCATTGGAAGGAGCTGTCTGCAGCTCTCAGTGCTGCACTGAGCATGTCCCAGCGGAGCCCTGTGCGAGCAGCACATTATGCAAAAAGGCAGCTCTAGCAGATGGGCGAGAGGCAGAGCAAGCATTTGCTTCGCTTGCATCACCACCGCCTGAAAACAAACCTGGATCGCTAGAGGGGAACTCGCCGGCAGGCCAGAGGAATGAAATCCGGGAGCATGGCTTGATAGCTGAAGGCGTTGCACTGCAAAAAATCATGGGGAATCAAGATGGGAAGCTAAAGAAAAATGCAGGTGATGTGCATGAAGGAGGAGAGGATGCTTCTGGGCCCAAGGATACGGATGGCACAAAGAAGGCATCGGGAGGCAGAAGGGGACTGGGGAAGCATGCGAAAGGGAGCGAATCTGGTAAGAAGAAGGGTAAGTCGGACTCGAGGGCCTCAGTGTTTTCAAATCTGAGGATCAGGAAAAATCTATCCAAGGCTAAAGATGGGAATAGTAGTTCACGGGAGGATGTTTTAGAAAGCCAGGCCTTGCAGGCTGGGGAGCTGGACAGTACTCATTCAGTTGTTACCAAAACTCCAGATATAAGCATCTCTGCGGATGAAGGGGGTCTCTCGGACACAGATGCTGAACATTTTGAAATCAGAAATGAAACTGTCCCAGCTGCTGCAGAGACACAGGATGGACAAAGGACCAGCTCTGGCTCTGATACAGATATATACAGTTTCCATTCAGCCACAGAACAAGAGGATTTGCTTTCTGATATCCAGCAAGCTATTAGACTGCAGCAGCAGCAGCAGGGGGCAATTAACATTGGAACTGAGGACCTTGTCACCAAAACAATGGGCCGACACATGGCTAATTCGCAAGCAGCCCCCTTAGATTTTGAACGGTTTCTTTCAGTAACTGCCACTGACAAAGAGAGGAGCCCAGACACTGAGGGGGCTTTTCCACCGATATCTGAAATTGCAGACAACATCCCCGTCTCCCGTGCAACTGAATGTGAACTGAAAGAATCAGAAAATGGCACAGACTCTCCTGGTAACGGCTTGTATGAAACACAAGAACGTAAGCTATTGATTGAGGAACAGGAACAGCTCTTTGCTGGAGTGGATGCTGTAGCTAGTGAACTAGAAAATGATTTAAATAGAACTGTGGTAGAAAATGGGTCTGAGACACACAGCTCCAAACAACCTTTTCCAACCTCAGTGGCGGATGCTGAGGCTGAATTTGCCGAAGTGCAGGCTGTTGATTTGCAGGGCTCGGTAACAGAGGATGGTATTTCAGATGCAGGCCGTGATCATGCTGCTGAGACTCAGGAAGGGAAACACACTCTGTCAGCCAGTCAAGAGGACCTGCAAAAAGATTTATCCACAGAAATGAAAAATGGCATTTTGCCCTCCGAAGGGACGGCAGGAAGTCCGATGCTTGGTTCTCGATGCTTTAAGCCCTATCTAATTAATCCTTGTTACATCAAAACCACAACTAGGCAACTGAGTTCTCCCAACCACTCACCTTCTCCCTCCCCATCCCAGAGCCCGCTTTTTGCAAGGAGACAGGAGTCCTTCCACAAAAAAGAAAAAGTCTCACTAAAGAAGCAGAGGTCTGCTAGTTTAGCAGGTTACTTCAGTCGTTCTGCAGACTGGACAGAAGAGATATCTAGTCACAAATACGAGATTACAGAGAAGGTGGGCTCTGCGGGCTACTTGGAACACAAGGGATTTAGAGAGATTTTGAAAGAGTGCCTTTGACTCATTCAAGAAAGTCCTCAGGGGTGCAGGCTTCTACAGAGACATTTCCCAATGTCTTTTCAGGTGAGTGACATGTATTAAGGTTTTTTCCCAAGAGAGTCTTTGAAAATGTATTTTAAATACTTGAATTCAGTCCTTTGCATGTACTATGTCTTTACTTGTGCCTGCAGTTTTAAAATCAAAGTCCTGAACTTTCAAACATGGTCACATTTCATTAACAAGCCTGCCAGTACTGCCAGTAAAGGAAGTGCATAACTGTGAAGTTTTTCTTTCTGCTTTTCTCCTTTGTCTAAATCTTGTAGCAGAAGGCTGGATGCCTTAAATTGTTCTTGTAGAAAGATGCTAAGAGCTGCACTGTTGTAGGCAGACCAGCTCTCTGCATAAATAAATCTTTCAGATGTGAAGTGTTCTGTAACCATGATCCTGTTTGGGGTTTTCTTGTGCTAGTCACTGTTCTGATGTACTGTAAATATTTGAGAGCCGCACCTGCTGTTAGACTGAGACAGTGATGAGGATTTGCTTAGTAAAGAAGGGCAAATGCCATGCCAGTACACTTGTACAGCACTAGGGAAAGGAACCAGTTTCCCCTTCAGAAGGGGGAAAGAGGAGAACAATAAAATGTTAATGACTTGGAAAGGCAGCATAAAATGGAGAAGGGAAACTGGCGGGTAGTACAGCTTGGTAGCTGTGGTAGGCTGCTGCTCAGGCTAGATAAGGTGAATCATTCAGGAAAGCATTTTTTTACCTTGTTTATTAGGCAGCTTGCATCTTCTCCCAGAGGCATAGGAATGCAGAGTTTATAAATGAAATAGTGTGAATCGATGGTTATACTTTCCTGCACTTTGAGGGTTTTTTCCACTTTCTCCTCATCTGATGTTTCTATATAAAGCTAACATTTTCACAAATAGAGAACGTCTCTGCCATACAGAAGGTATATATACAGAGGAAACTTGGCAACATAGTCCATTTATTTTTCACTTAAGAATACTGTAGAACTAAGAAAATACAGAGAACATGTCCTGCAAGAATCCATTACAAGATTAAAACAGTTGAATCTGTAATTGAGTTTGTTTTGAATGGAAGTCTGTTCTAGGTGCATGAGCACAGTAAACAATATGTATGTACCCAAGCTCTTTGCAAAAAATGCAGCTAGAATTTTTTTGTGGTTTTATAAAAACTAAACAAAATAGTATGGTTTATGAAGGTAACAATAATATGATTTAAAAATCATAGGTAAGGAAACAGTTAAGCCATCAACAGCTGTTTTGCACAAAAATACTGCCCTGCTTTTGCTATATATTTTAAAAATTATATAACTTGTTTGCATTCATAGTTGCTTTCTTTGTGCACATTATGCTCTACTTGACATCACAGTAATAATAGTGAATGAACCTGTCTGGAAACAGAAATTAAAATTAGTGACTTTTCTGCACAACTGCCAATTCCTGGAGTTTGAAATTCTCAGGTAGAGCATTAAAATGATTTTCCAGATTCAAATCACAAGAGTACTTTAATTCTTCAGTAATCTAGAATAGAAATCCCCAATTTCAGTGTTGAAAATTAGAATTCAAGTTTTTAACACAAAAAAGCCACTCCCTCTGAAGGACACCAACCCTCTGTGAAGTGTGCTGAATCTTTTTTTTATGTTTTAAGACCCTTCCACCATGTTTCACTTAGTGTTTTCTCAAATTTAATTTCAGACATCCCTATCTAAAGTTCAGATTAATAGCATATAAAGAGTATACTGTTTTGTTTTTTCCTTTTAATTGACATTTGACAACTTATAACTAACTTAGAGAATAAAGCTTTAAATTGCATCACCAGTAATTCTACTTTCATCTTTATGGTCGTGCTGTGAGGGAAATAAATTTTATGTAGCAAACTTCAGGAATGTGGAATTACTTTTTAGAGGACAGTTTTCCAGGAAACAGATTTTTTCACTTTTCCTCAAAAGGTTTTGATTTATTTATTAATAATTCTTGTTTTATTGTGTTTTCCCCTCAACACTATAGACTGTTGTTGTGAAAGGACCAGTGTCCAATGCAACAGTAGTTCTATCTCTTATGGAAATTATAGTGACCCTCATTTGCATGTACATACCAGCTGTCTTTACAGGAAGAGGACAATTATACCTTTCAGTTCATGCAGAAAAGCTTGAAATGATGGAATTGGAAATGCTATGATAACGCTTCATCTCTTTTTGATGATTCTTATTTTAAAAACATATTTACAGTCTTAAAATTATCAAAAGTATACAAATAAATAGTGTACATAAAAAAGGGGAATTGAAACTTAACATTAATATTCTCACAGACTGGCTGTCATTGCTATAAGAGCAGAAAAGCCTTATTATTTAAACCAGTCTGCATAGCAACAATTACAGAAATAATTTCCTTGTAATTTGAATACTGCTTTTGAAAAATGTTGTATTTTAATTGCATGCATGAGATGCATCAATTCAGGGATTACCAACAGGCTTTTAGAAATAACATTCTTTATGGTATCTCATTTCTATCTTTTAAAGACAATCAGGTTCTTGCATAGATCATTAAATCTTATCTTGCTGTGCACTGGCTGGAATGTTGTTCTGCATTTCTAACTAGAATCAAGTAAAATATTCCACAACTCTTTAGTCATCGATTTTAATGACAGCAGACTCTATGCATATGACTGGCCTACTTTTGCACTATACTGTGATTTGGCTGTGCTCCATCTGGTTTTCACAACGATCCATATAAACTCTTCTAAGGCTGTTTTAATGTAAAATGTAGATGGCAGCCAACAACTGGCAAGGCAGAGACTTCATGTATTTTAAATTTTCTTTATGTAAGAAGTAAGTCTGGTATTCCAAATGTGATATGGATGAATTTATGGGCATTCTCTAATTCAGGCATCGGATCTATTTCATTTATGATGAGGACAGCTGTATTTGAAATTGCAGTGACAGTAATTACAAGTTCTAGATTACCTGATGCACAGTGGCTGTTATTTCGTGGTCCCAGGAGGACATGAGCTGAACCTGAATGAATAGGGTTGGCTCTTTTACTTCGATATATGGCAATGGATGATTTGCACAAGCATTAAGAGAGTATCTCAGTGGAAAAATGAAATTGATGTTTCCAAATATTAACATAATTGAAACAGAAGAGCTAATATATTGATCTAATAAAAATTAGTTTATTCTCTTGTTAATCTGAGGTGCAGTGATTGCAGAGGAGCTAGTAAGGGTGTCTGTTACATAAACTGAGTGTAAGAGTCCCATCAGCTGCCCCAGATGGTAATTAAACTTGACCCAGACAAACTCATGGCGTTTCTAATCTCTGTTGGCTGGCTGTTAACACACTTGCTGCATGGATCTCTTTCAAACAGATGATTTATCTTTATGTTTCTCTTCAGAGATTTAGATCTGTCCTGCTTTAGCTGTAAACAGGATACAAACAAACAAACAAACAAAAAGACCTGGTTACTGTAAAACCAGAGGTCAGCCCCATGCTTGTGTGCTCATGGCTGCTTTCTAATTTCCACAGAATGCCCACCTGCCTCTCACAAAGGCCACTTTATCTCACTGGACTAATGTCATCTGCACCCACTTAGAGTTCCAGCCTGCAGGCATATACAAAGGTCTCAGTATAGATAAGTATGTGAAAACTTGAAGAAACAAGATGAAAGTCTTTTTCTGAGTTATAAAGTAGATCTTTTTAGACACCCTTTCATGTTGTTTTTATTTTCATAGAATCAATAAGGTTGGAAAAGACCTCTAAGATCATCAAGTCCAACCGTCAACACATGCTGATTGATGTGGTGATGCACACAATACAGATTTGTGTCTGTTGGCATCCTGATGAGAATGTTTATCATGCAACTGTTATTTAAGTCTACTTATGGTTTACTGTTTCACTGATGATTTTTGTTAGCAATAACACAAATATTTCTTTTATCAGTTGGTAGAGCAGCACAGTCTCCTCTAAGGGAGCTGCCCAGCAGCAATCCTTCATGTGATATGGGATCACACACTACACTGAGTGTTGCTAGTAAATGTCTGAAGGGAAACAGCCTCCTCTTTCTGCCTGCTAAACCCAATCTGGGGGAGAGGTGAGTGGTAGGGCTGCAATATTGCACTCCAGCTACAGTAAAATATGTTTGTAAATGGGCTGCCATGTGTTATTCAAGGACTACTGAGTGCTGATAAGTTGCTTCAATACTACTGTGCCAGCACTGCATTATGAGAATTGGAGCAACGTGAGTAATGTCACTGGGATGCAGTGCTGCCACAGGCTTGTTTTGATGGGGTCTCATGATTAATGCTTTGATCTTTATCTAGAACTTCATGTTGAGTAGCAGCTTTTGGTCATGGGGTTGAGTGGCTGCATCTCTTTCTTAGCAGCAGCCTTGTTCTGAGGTCTGACTGGCGGCCTGACCTGTGTCTGGCGTAGAAGTGTGATGTCTTTGTTGTCTGCTGGTCTCTTTTGGGATGCAAAGGGGAAAAGGGACAGCTGATAGCTGGAGGTCTATGCAGCCCTGCCTCGATCCGAGACACGGTACCAGTATAATACCCATCACCTGTGGGATCTGGCTAGAACTGGTCATTAAAGAACATCATGGATTTCAGTGCTTTCATTTTACTACAGTGAGAACAGTTACATGGAGTTTAAGTGCAAATATACTTTTAGACATA